CAATGTCTTTACATATTATATTACTCTTATATTGTATTAGTTTTGTATTTTAAAGAATAACTAATTTACTATTTAAATCAAAATATTTCAATAGATTGGCAGAGCTTTTATAGTGTTGGGAATATCTGTTGGTTTATTGGCCTTATATTTCTTGTGTCGATACGCTTTCCATATAAGAAGTCTATACCGCGAGAGTCATAGACACCGACATCGAGAGCGAGCGAACCAAAGCTCGGAAAATGGATTGAATAATAAACCAAATAAGATGTCAAAGAAACAAATGAAGTTTATATTACAGAATCCGTGGCATAGAGTCAATGAAACACAACCCAAAGAACGATATTCTAATGGCATTGACATCTATGTAGATAATGGTCTCTATTTGTCGTCCAACCATATTGTCTGATATCGTTTCAAATGATTTCATTGTTTTTTTCAATACATGTTTTAAAATCATTAGAGAATCTCTAATAGATCTGAAGAATTCTCATTTTACACACAATTATTTTTTAGATATAACTTATATTTAAACAGTTTTTGATATTGAAATCAAATACATTTAATTCATAAACAGTACAGTATTTCACGATTTATAGGGAAATTAAGTTTTAATTCCATTTCATTAAATTCCAGTTGTTTTTAAAGAATTGTCGTTTATTTGTTGCCAATAAACTAAGTTTAAACAAATTTGATGCTAATATGTATTATATTAACAATTATCTTAAATATTACTTAAAACAATTTTGTTTTAAAAAAATTTATAAATATTTAATGCATTAATTGTAATATTTTAGTATAAATGCACTTAATTTGTTATAATTAATAATTGATATAATCTAATGAAGTAAGTAAAACTGTTTTACTGTCAATTTATTAACAATTTTATGTTAACAAACTTATTTAAAAGTTACAATTTGTATAAAAATAAATATCATGTGATTTATTAATTCTTTAATTTTAAATTTTTTGAATTGTTTTGCAATTTTATATTACAAAATGCTAATTAATAATTAAGGCCGATATAAAATTGTGGTAAAAATATTTTAATTGTTGTAATTTTTAAAAATCGCGAGACTAGTGCTTGTCTAAAGATTGTAACTATAATTACATCATTAGTTATAACTTATAAATTATCAATTAATCACTAAATATTGATTTGGTTAGTAAACCAAACTAAATCCAATCCATTCCATATATTTAATAGTCAATATAACCACGAAGATTAATGGCTAAATTTTATACAGACCATTATAATCAGGTGTTAACAAAGTTTTAAACATTAATGTCTAAAAATGTATACCTTATACAGTGCAACATTTCAATAGGGAACGGGCAAATTATAGCCAAAGTGTTTCTTATATAGAGGGTTTCTTCAAGGGAGGTTTAGCTATAGGTATAGGAAATCCAAAATACATGTATATTTCAAATCCGTTTCTTATTAGGAAATGTTCGCCCAAGAGAAGTTGCCCCAAGAGAGATTTTACTGTATAATTATAGGTAACTAATAAATATGCAAATATCTTGAGCAAATATTATTTTACATTATTAATAATAAAAATGACTTTAACAATGGTCTAAATTATTTATCACAAATATTATACTGTATTTAAGGTAACAAACCGTTTAAATATTTGAAATATTTAATCAAAATGTCAAATAAAATTCAGAATAGATTAAAAAATTTGGAAGAAACAGAAGAACTAAACAAAAACTTAATACAACATTTATTTTTTATAAGTTGTGTTTTATTGTCACTGAATTTATTCTATTTCATTTTATATCTATTGAATATAATCTTAAATTTTATGGATTTGTATAAATTAGAAAATATTATTTTTCATGAAATATTTGTATTGAATTTAATTAATCTCTTTATAATTGGATTATATATTTATACGACATATAAATGGAGTCAATTTATTATTGATTTGTATCTTATATTAAATTTAATTTGGATTTTAATAGCCATTTGTATTACATCCATGAGTTTCGCCTTTTCTGGTCAGTATTTATTAATCAATTAAATCTTAATATTAATATATTTTACAACTTATGCAACAAAATTGTTGTAATCAATTAAAGGTAAGAAGAAGAAAACATCAACTGATGTATTGCTAGCAATGGTATTTGAATACATTTATATCGGCTCTTCATTTGTTGTCTGTGTTTTAATTCAAATACACTTAAAGCGAATCAAAAGCAGTCAATATATTGCCGATAAAACTATTAAACAATACAAAAGTCAATCGACGAATACAAATGTGATTCAAATGAAAGAAATAATGTCTAAAACTATAAGAAGTGAAACATTTTTGGCGATAAAGAAACAAGAGTTCAATGAATTTGATAAAAGCCTCAGAGAATTGAATGATTCAATCAATTCATTAGAATTAAGCCTAAATAAGAAATTACATTAATTATAATCCATAAAAATATTTGATTTTATATTTAAATTAAATTTTTATTAATCAATTATTAATAATTCCTTGATATGAAATAAAGTACAATATATCTATAGGCAATAGCATTTTATTTATTAAATTAACAGGTATATTTAATAATATGTAACACTATAGGAAAGACAAAGTATTGAAGACACCCCTGGGCGCCCATTGTGGCCATCATAACAAAACAAATGTTAATTAAAATATATATTCTATAAATTAATACAAAATTAATTATTAAAGATTTAAATGAAAATTCTTGTCATTTATTTATTTGTATTGAAAGACTGATAGAAACGATAAGATTGTCAGAAATGTAGTGAAAATGTGATTCAAAATCAGCGCCAATCATATGATGAGTGAATTGTGAGCCAATAATAGACAAACAGTTGTGAATGCAATCCTATTTGTGTTCAACACGTGTTTAAATCACTTCATAATTATTATTATTATTGCAAATATTTTATAATTTTATATTAATTTATAAAACAATTCATTTATTTATTACACTTTGCATTCATTTCACATCAAATGGCCATTGATTTCAATAAACAGGTATTGAATGCCATTTAATGTTTGATTTGATTTTCATGTGATTTTGTTTTTTGATTGAAAGGTCTCTGACTTTAAAGAGGAGATCAAGAAAGAGGCCGAAGGACTGGTTCTCAAGACATTCCCGCAAAAGATACTCGAATTACAAGCGCTTCTCAAAGTATGTCTCAAATGATTGTTGTCTTCGAGAGTTGTGTTGACTAATGGTTTTGTTATGATTGTCGCCATTGAATAGAGCAGTAAATTCACGATTAAGAGTCTGTCGGACATCTGTATGGACATCAATATACCGGTTCCCGACCATCCCTTCGCTCACAATCACCACAACAACGACCACAACATTAATGACAATCCCGACGGAGATCTTCCGGTATTTCACTTCCCATTAGTTGCCATTCATTTCCGGTTAACAAACCTTTCGCCTGATTTTCAAACAACTATTGATTTTAATTCATTTATTAATGAGAATTATTTGCCGTTATTTTAGTCAAAGAAACGGAAGTACACGGCTATAGAGGCGGACGGAGTGTCGGGAACTAAAGTGTTGGTTCTGCCCAATGGTGTGGCCCCTTGTAATAAACATGTGGTCGATTTGATTGAATTGGTTAAGCCATTGATCAGACAATTGGTCGAAGACGCTAATCTGGTCCGTTGTCAATGCAAACACACATTCAATCCATTAATTATTAACTCATTGTAATTGATTTGTAGCTAAAAATGTGGATTTTATTCCTCATTCCTCGCATTGAAGACGGAAACAATTTCGGTGTTTCTATTCAGGTATTTATTGTCTCTATTCGTGACAATTGTCTGATTATGTGGTTTGATGTATAGGAGGACACATTGGGTGAGATCCGTACTGTTGAGGGCGAAGCGGCCGCTTATTTCGACCAAATGTCCCGATATTTCTTATCGCGGGCTAAGACTGTGGCAAAAGTGGCCAAATATCCGCACGTGGTTTGTGTTAATGAAAATATTTGTTTGATTGGCACTAAAGTGTGTTTATTTGATGATCTCATAGGAAGACTATCGAAGGACTATCCAAGAGATCGATGAGAAAGAGTTTTTGAGTCTCCGTCTGGTTGTGGCCGAACTTCGCAACCATTACGCGACTCTTCACGACATGATAACCAAGAACTTAGACAAAATCAGAACTCCTCGTTCCTCTAACACTGAAAATATGTATTGATTTTCCCTTTTTTATAATTTCAATAAATACTGAATATCATTAAAAATTATTATTCAGCAATTGTTTCCACTTATTTCTATCAAATTATTTTCATTAATAAAACTATAAAATTGTATTCAAAAATTGTCATCAAATAAATAATTTATTTTAAGATATTTTTTGTTAAATAAAAAATATTTGCTCTTTTAATTAAAATTGTAAATAAGGATTAGTTTTGCAATTATTTGCTTTTAAAATAAGTGAAATGAATGGAGAAATATAAATACTGTTTATAACATTAATATTAAAAAAGATTAATAATAAGTATATTAAATGAAATTGTATTTATCTTTTCGGACCACTTCGACAATTGGGTCATATATTCAAAAATAAACTCAACTAATAATACATAGTTTTAACAGAATTTATATTTAATTTAAAAACAATTTAAAAGTATTAGTAGTTAAGAAATAATATCTGATAAATGCGTTATTATTTGGTAATTGATTGGAAAACATGTATTTTGGAGACAAATTCACTGATCCATCAATTGTTATCTAAAGAACACATTGAAATGTACGGCCATTTCAACAGTTATGAAATATCTATTCTGTAAAATAGATGTTAATTTAAGATTACAACAACTTATGTAATATTGAATTGAAATATGAGATACAGTGTAAGAATCCAATAGTAAAGTGAGCCAAGACTTGTTCTCACATCCAAATTAAGATCGTTTGGATCTATTGAACTCCAAATGTGTCCCCATTTAGGGTTATTCGCACTCAAACTTTTTGTATCACTCGTACGGCTTTATTGGCTCTTTTTGGGCACTTTTTGCCACTTTAGGTGAAAGTCTATAAACAGATTCATCCGAAACAAAGTCTTAATTTAAAGAAACAAGTTTTATATATAGTATTGTCTGATTCCCTGGTTTTTACGCTCGCTTTATAACTTTCGATTAGTTTTTCAAATGATTTCATTCAATGGATGTAATAATTATGATATAAAGAATTGTTTCGTTCAATCATTCATTCAAATCTTTGATTTTAAGTAATTGTTTTGCAATAAAAGCAAATATTGTTTAATTTGTATCATATATTTGTAAAAGTGTTTTAATAAACTTTTACTATGATTTTAATGAAAGTTTTTTGTAAGTAAAATTTAATCTCTCTCTCTCTCTC